GATCATACTAATGCCCTCGATTGGTCTCTGTGTGTCATTCAAGCTCGGGAGGGTGTGTGTTTGTGTATGTGTGGCGCGAGCGAGCGAGAAAGCGAGCGCATCGGTTACGTGTATTGTTGTTAGCATCTGGTGCTAGCTAGCTGCGCTAACGGATATAAGGAGCTGTTTCAACAACAAGGTGTGGGGAGAGTCCTCTGCTGTCAGACTGAGAGGCTGATAACTACAGCTCAGGTGAGGTAAATTACTGTCTGGGTGTTTAGATCAGGGGTACTCAAATACAAATCTTAAAGGTCCAAAATAAATATTTCAATAAGACAAAGGTCCGTTTATTACGGTCATTTAAACTTTTAAACAATTGCAACAAGATTCTTAACACGAGGTTGCAAAAACAAAAATAATCTGTATGCAGCAGTTTTCATTGTTATTGTGTCTGTGCTTGATCTCTCAGAGTTGCAGTGTAAGAGCTGCACAGTTATGAATAAAGGCAGCTGCACCCTCTTTCATTCAGCATTCCCATTATTGCTTTATACATGTCTTGCCCCCTTGTGTGTCCACTGAGGTTCGTCAGGCCCAACACATCTTCAACAAACTCCCCCTTTGCCTCATCATAAAAACTCACAAACACCAGCAACTGAGCATTGTCAGTGGTGTCAGTGGACTCACCCACAGCTAAGGAAATGCACTGTGCATTTTTTATTCCATCACAAAGCTGATGAATCAAATCACCAGCCAGTATTTATGTTCTTCTGGTTGCTGTGGAATCTGAGAGGGGGATTTGCTTGATTTTACCTGTTATTTCCTCTTTTTGTTTGCCTTCAACATGGTCTCCATCACTTCAGTCATGCATTCTTTTATACTTCAGTTATGATCCAGTGGAAAGTCCTTACCTACTGGCCTAGTTCAATCAAAGTGGTTACTTTATTTTTGGCTGGGCAGTGTAGTTTTACACACCGTCTTATTTGACTTTCTCAGGACTTAAAACAGTTTTTTGGGGGCAGACCCCCTCAAAGAAAAAAATATATTTACAAACGTAAGGTCATCATCTTAACAGTTGTGTATGCTCATCCGTGAGCAGAGCATCAAGTTGACATGTCTATTACAGCTGAATGCGACGATTACCATTTTGTTCAGCAAAACGCCTCACAAACAGATCAAGAGCTTTAGTGCGTTTTCATTCAATGCTGAGTACAGCCAAACTGACAGTCTCTTCTCTGTCAGTGTAGACCGCAAATACCTCATTCCTTCAGTGCTTGGGTCCGAAATCCTTCTCGTTTTGCGCCGTCCCGTTCAAATGAAATCGCCGCCAATCATATGTCCAGGCTCGCGCCAGGACCGGGGGAGGGGTTACATGACGTGCATCTTGTGCTGCATTCACTTGCACTCGGACATTAGAGACTTTCTCTCATAAATGTCCGATGAGCCACAACTTTTCTTTCAAAACAAAGCTGCCAACTGGGGTGGCAAGGCCTATTTTTAGGGTGTCAGTTGCCACCCCGGTAGGTGAAACTAGGCTACTAGCTACAGTACAGGTGAAACTAGATGAGCTGTTAACTCTCGCTCGGAATTTTTTTTTTTTAAACTCTCGCTCTGACTCAGACAGGTTGAAAGAGACGAGACACACATTTTTCCCACCCGCATTCCGCGAAGACCCGCCCTACTGTGCCTCTGATTCGCAGATTGTTTGGGGGGGGAAAACGCTGACGGGATGCTGAATGTGATTGGACCAATGCGTTGACAGACACACACAGACAGTGGAACAGTCGGACATGCAAAGCACTGTTTGCAGTCTATGGACATAGCGGATCATTTTGACTCGTTGCGTTGTGGCGATGTCTCGCAGATAACACAGATAATACATATGAAAAGTATAATTTGCTCAGAGTCCAGAGACAGTTGTGGTTCGGTCCGGATCCGGACCGGAGTCCGGACTTTGAGGATGCCTGGTTTAGATAGTTAACTTAGTCTAAGTTATCTCAGTGGGTCTCAAACGGTTTGGTCACCATTTATGTAAACACATATTTCCATTTGAGGGGGGAGTGATTAGTAAAATATGCATGAATAATACAAATAAAATGTTAACTAGGTGAAAAAAGGTAAGATAAACTTGTTGAAAGTAGGGGTGCAACAACTAATCGACTTAATCGATTAAAATCGATTACCAAATTAGTTGCCAACTAATTCAGTCGTCGATTCGTTGGTGACGTCATCACATGTGTTTTACGCGCCGTTAAGCTCCAACGTTATTGGTCTTTTTATCGGTACCGGAGACATTTAAAAAATACATGTCATGTATTATTGCTACATAAGCATTATATCGCAGTCTTAGTGTCGCCAACTCGTTTCTAATATGCAAAAAGACAAACAAATGCGTCTATGATGTATTTTCGATCTTTCCAATCCAGAAGAGAGATCTTCTATGGAACGCCCTTTGCGCCACAATTCGCGTTTTTATTCGCGCGTAGTTTCGCGCGGATTAACGGGGAGGTCCGTTTTATAAACGTGGAGGCCCGTTTAAGTTCAAAGTCTCAGTAACCAATCAGTGAAGAGCAAAACCAGAACAAAGCAATCTGTAATGAAAAGTTCCTGACATTGTGAGGCTGTAAATTGTACGTTATTCCAGATTCAGGGGACTATGTATTAATTTGTCTTTCAATATAATAAATATATCAATCAATATAACCTGCCTTCATTGTCTTTCATCGCCTTACCTTACTGAAGTGAAGGGTATTTATGTCTCCTTAAATCACCTTTTAAATGTACTTCTTATAACATGGAATGCTGTAACATATCAAAATGTTCAGTCTCTGGTCTTGCTAGAAATGCAATGTCACTCACCTTAGAGCACTGTCTTATGAGATACTTCGCTTAGAAATCAGATTTTTGGAAAACTTAAAAACTCTTGTGAAAACACAGATGTACTCATGTCATCCATTTTTTTGGTGTTTCAGATTTGGTTTACCAACGTTTTTGGTTCACAAAAGTAGTGAAATATATGAATTACACTATAGGCCAATATAAATGTGTTGTTCATGTCTAAAATGAAAATGTGTAAATTAGAATTGAGTAAAATAGTTCCATCACTCTACTTTCACCACAGAAAAGTTACATCAGGACTGATTCATGACTTCATATTCCATACTGAGGTTCATGTGATGTGTACAAATTGAGCATTACAACTTTTTTTTTCAACCAACTATTTATGTTAACATAAGAAGCTGTAACATCTCAATATTTACAATACAGGGTTCATACACTTTTTCACCAATGATTTTAAATGACTCTTTCATGTGGCTAGCATGCGCTGCCTCGCCCATATTCGAAATATTGAATATGTTACAACACAGTTTGCATTTAGCACGTCTTGGGTCAATGTCTTTTGATAACCACAATTGGTACTTATTCTTTAGAAGCCATACATTGTTGAAACTGCACTTCCCTGGCATCTTTATATCAAATAGTAGCTCCTGTAGACTAGAGGGCATGATTGTAAACATCTCTCACCAGCGAAATACTGCCACAGTTGCCATTTTACGTTTCATTATACGATACAGTATTTATTATCATTATAGTATTACTATTTCGGCGATTAGATAACATATCAATTATATTTGATGCAACTTTAGTTATATTTCCATGACTTTTCCAAAACTTTGGGAAAAATATTGCATTCCATGACTTTTCCAGGTTTTTAATGACTGTACGAACCCTGACAATATCAGAACTTTCTCAACCAACTATTCATTATAAATTAGGGCTGTCAAGTTAACGCGTTAATAACGCGCGCATGTGTATTTTTTGTCCTCGGCCGCCCCGTAGTTTCAGAGCGCATCGAGTTTAAAATACCATCTACAAGCTGATGCTGCCGCCCGCTTGTGGCAGACCACACTTCCACGCTCACCGGCAGGCACCGACTGGCTGTTGGGAGGACCGGGAGGGTGTGTGTATGTGTGGCGCGAGCGAGCGAGAGAGAGACCTTACGTGCATTGTTGTTGTTAGCATCTGGTGCTAGCTAGCTGCGCTAACGGATATGGAGCTGTTTAAATGAAAACAGAGGAGCGACATTTTGCCACAACTGCGCCGAGCACTTGACTTTATGCAGGAAGCCAGACAGTGGGACATTGTACGAAAAGTCAGCACACTCAGCACGGATAGCGCGCAACATGATTGCAGCATCCAGGCAGCTCCCGTTCGAGCATATGCCTTGAGTTGCACATAGCTCCAACAATCCCCCACATACACACACACACACACACAGTATTGTATTATTGTATGAGAGAGGTTCCAGGTTGAATTGAGGCGAATATTTGTAATGTTCAGAGGTTGTTGTGTTTAATATTCATGAGAATATTTGTCATTGTTCAAATGATAATAAACATTAGCATAAAGCATATTTGTCCACTCATATGTTGATAAGAGTATTACAAACTTGAAAAATATTCCTCTAAGGTACATTTAGAACAGATAAAAAATGTGCGATTAATTTGCGATTAATCGCGATTAACTATTTTAATCGACTGACAGCCCTATTATAAATGTAAAGACAGGGGGAGCAGTGCCATGGTCTTTGTCTTTCTTCCAAGACAGTGGGTCTGGCTGCTGTATAGGTGGGGGTGCTGGTGGCTGCTGGTGGCTGCTGGTGGCTGCTGGTGGCTGCTGGTGGCTGCTGGTGGCTGCTGGTGGCTGCTGGTGGCTGCTGGTGGCTGCTGGTGGCTGCTGGTGGCTGCTGGTGGCTGCTGGTGGCTGCTGGTGGCTGCTGGTGGCTGCTGGTGGCTGCTGGTGGCTGCTGGTGGCTGCTGGTGGCTGCTGGTGGCTGTGTCGGCGGGAGGGAGGTGTGCTAGGCGAGACTTCTTTGCTGGCTGGGTTGATTGTGATGGCTGTGGTGGAGGCCTTTGTACCGAGGTGTATCTTAATCTTGTGGCAGGCACAGATGGAGGTGGAGGCTGCTGTAGTGATGCTGGTCCTCTGGTCCTTGGTGGTGATGGCTCTGGTGAAGGCCCTTGAGCCACGGTAGATCTTGACCTGGGTGCAGGCACAGATGGAGGTTCTTGCAGCTGTGAAATCGGAAAGAAATACAGGACAATAATTACTAATAAGTTCATTAAAATATAAAGTTCAAGTGGAATGTTTCTCCTCCCTCTCTCTCTCTCTATTTAACTATGTTACACCCACACAATGAAAGTACACTATTACTGTAATATTTACCTATCTTCAAATGGATCCTTGTTGTTGTTGCTGTATTCTCCAGGTTCTGATGCTCCATCTCCACTGCTGCTACTGTTACAAGTCCGCTGTGCAGAGCTGGTAATCAGATAATAAGCCTGTTGAACAGGAGAAAAGAATTAAGCAGAGGGAAAGTTGCTGCCGTTTGTGTGGTTGTCCTAGCCAGAATTTATTAAACACATTAATAAATTCACTTACAAATTATATCCGTTTTCTCTATCTATCTAATCATTCTCTGGTTTGACGCCACATGTATCTCTGCATTGTGTTGTGTGTAGGGCTGTGCAATTAATCGTATTTTAATCGCGATTACGATTATGGCTTGCGACGATTAGGAAAACAGCATAATTGACAAAATACGATTATTTTGCTGGGTGCGCTTTCGCCCCTCCCTAAAAGCCCACTCGGCCACGTGGGAGTGACATGTGTTGTGAGTGTTCAGCGCAAGCGAAGATGTCAGAACAAGAGCAGCAACTAGTTAAAAAGAAGGGTCGCGGGGAGATTCCCAGTCGATCGCGAGATGTGTCTAAAAATAGAACAACAATATTCTGTTTTATCGTTAATGTCCTGTAACATAATGTTCCCGTGCCAGAATAATGCACTTGAACGCATCAAAGCTTTGTGATTGGCCGGCCTCACCCCATGTGTCTGGTCGTGGCTGGTGAGCAGTGCACTAGTTCGCTGACGTTGTCCGTGTCAACAGCATGGATGGTCAACAGGAGTGACAGTCCGCACACACACAAGACCGCAATTATGGCAGAAGCAAAAAAGCCCAAAATATATAATTTTCACTCCAAGTGGGAGGATCATTATTTTTGTATCTATTCCAATTCAAAGTCCGTCTGTCTCATCTGCAATGCGAGCGTGGCTTTATCGAAGAAGGGTAATTTAGGAGCGGCATTTCAAAACAGTGCACAAACGCTACGAGACGGAATTCCCTCCTAATTCTGCCCTACGCTCCAAAAGGGGAGGGGCCTGAAAGGACAGCTAAATGCACAGCAGTCCATTTTCACCAGGCCCAACAACAAGAGCAAGGCTGCTACCAGAGCATCTTATCGTGTCAGTCACGTTCTTGCGAAACACATGAAGTCTTTCGAAGACGGCGAAGTTGTGAAAGAAGCTTTCCTGGAGGCTGCGACGCGCTTTTGTGGGACAGTAAAAATAATAGCAGCATTTCAACAGGTTTTTGATATAATAAAAACTCAATTTAGATACCGTTATTAATCTGCTGTAAGTTTTAGTTTGTTTGAATTTATTCATGATAATTATTGTACAAAATGGTATAAGAATGCAACCATTAAGATCTGTTCTGTTTAAATTGATTATAGTCTATCAGTTCAGAAACTAGTGTTGCTTGCATCCTATTTTAAAGGCATTTATTTTTATACTCTAATAAAATGCAACAAAAAATGGGTTTGATTCTATTAATGTTGTCTTTTTTATTGCACTGTTGCTGCAGCAGATTACTGTGTAGCTTCAGATCTGAGTTGTCTTATTAGTAAGCCTAATTTATACTTTTGTAGCAACACTATTTTTATATAATGGCAAAGAAAGGGTTCTTCAGAGTCTTTTCTTTTTTTCCTGTGTCATATGTGGCAGCACTGCCACAAGTTCCTCTTCAGAGAGGGTCTTCAGTACAGGTGGCAATATTGTCACCTGCCTGCGCTCATCTCTGAAACCAGACCATGTAAACAGGCTGGTATTTCTTGCAAAAAAATCTTTAAGAGATGACATGAGCAGCCCTACCAGCATTTGCCATGGTGGCCTAAACATTTTTATTTGGTCTTAAATTGTAGTTCAACATTTATTTCCTGTTACTTCTGGACCATGACGGTTGGCCAGCCTTCAACGTTTAACTGAGTGGAATATGTTGAATATGTTTTACCAAAATGTTAGCTATATGTTAAGGAGTTTTCAGTAGGTTGTGACAGTGCACTGCAACATGTTTGATTTCATTTATTTTTGGTCTAATTTATTTTTATTTATCATATTAATAATATATGTTTAGTATGGTTTTGGAAGTGCGCTCCAACACATTTATTGATCTTGTTTATTGGTAAAATATTATTTGTTTTAAAGTTCAATAAATGGTCAATGAATAATCGTCAAAATAATCGTGATATCAATTATTGACCAAATAATCGTGATTATGATTTTTGCCATAATCGCACAGCCCTAGTTGTGTGGTTGAATGAATATGGCTTCCTTCTTGCCAACCAGGTTTATTATCTGTGCAAACAGAATATAATGAAATGGCTTCACCAGCTTTCTACCTCAATACTTCTCCTCTGAGGCCTGAAGCTAACTGAGAATGTAAAAATACATTTAGCCAATCAAAATAACTATGTCTGACATATTTCGTTTTCCAATCAAAAATGGACATAAATACAGATGCCATATTATGACTTTCATGAAGGATTAAAGCCTTTTTAATTTACAGTATAATACAATGATAACAGATAACACACACAACCCGACTGTACTCACTTTAACATGGCTGTTGTACAGGCACAATATTAGCATAGCATTAGCGCTTTAGCATTTAAATAATATGAACAATTATGACCTCAGGCCAGCATTTCACATATTTATACAAACAGAATAAACTTGAAATGTAAGGCAGATTAGTGCACGGGACTCATTACACAAAGTAACATAGTAGAGCGCTACATTATACTTCTTCTTCTTCTTCTTCTTCTTCTCTCGGACCATGCCGTTTCTCTAACGCTAAACCGGAAGTGAGGCTAAGAACGGCGAACTTAAAGATAACAATACCATTAGCACTCCTAGTGGTGACTTTATGAACTGCAAACAAATAACATAAAATGCCTTTAAGGCAGCACACTGTTTGAAGCGCTGCACATTATATAAACTAACGTTACACACGGCAACGACATTAACTGCAAACAGTCGTGACTTGTGTGAAGTGTAACATTAAACAATATATTAACATATTAAATACAACATTTATGACACCACTCGTTCCACTCAGTAACCCTCTTTGTTCTAAGACATGTGATAGTATACACTATCATCTTCTTCATCCATTTACACAAGTGTGATGTTACTGGGTAATGATCACTTCCTATGGTACAGTCACTTTTTACATACCATTCACACGATTTAACTAAACTATCCGTCACAAGTATGAGGTCCAAACATGATTGTGTCCCCCTATTCACGTCTATTCTTGTGTTTTGTCCATCATTAAGGCAAAAACAATGCCCTGTGAAAAAGTATCTCTTTAGCCCTTTCCAAAGTCCTTTAAAAACTCATGCAGCAGTTGCATCTCAAAAGGCCTTAAGGGAAGGTTTTGTTACATTTTAAGGCGTAACCTTTGACATTTAGTTGACCAGAGGCATCAATCTGCATCTGCTCTCCGAGACGGTTCCAACAAGACCAAGCTCAAAGCTGTCGGACCTTCCTTTGTGCCGTAAAGGGCACCGTGCGGCATGAAAATCTGACCTCTGACCTCAGTTTTGACCTTGTCGAAGGTCACAGGGTACCCAAATTTTGCAAGCGGGTTCCACACAAGTTAAGCAATACACTCTCAAAGTCTCTGAGCGCCACGCACCTTTTTTCAATTTTTTTCATTTTCTACCCCTCCCCCACCACAAGCCTGTCAGACCCTTACGGCCCGTCCACCCAGCAGCGTGCGTTGAAGCTTCCAACGCTTCTGCCCATTCACTTTGAATGGGGTGACGTCACTTTTAGCCGAACTGCATTTTGGGAAGCGACGTGGAGCGTTGCTGGCGTTGCTGGCTTCAAAAGTTGAGCAATGTTCAACTTTTGACGCCTCGATGGAGGCGTCAGCCAATGAAATCCCGTTTATGCAAATCTGCCAGTACAAGCGCTAGCCAATCAAACCGCGTGTATGCTGGGAGAGACTACGCAGGTCATTTCCTCATATTCAAAAAAATGGAGGGAAAATTCATTGTAGCGGTAGTGAATCACCCGGTGCTGTATGATCAGTCTCTGTTCATCTACCGGGATACAAACCGGAGGAGCGAGGCATGGAGGGAGGTGGCAGAGACAGTGGGTGAAACTGGTAGGTTTTTGCCTGTTTGGGGATTTTATATCCAGTTTACTTCGTTTTAACATTGCTATTGCTTTGTATGTCGGGGGCGGGAGATTAATGTGATTGCTTGTTGGTCGCGTTGCTCGCAAAAAATCCCCAAGCTTCAGATACGCCCACCTCCAAGCGTCAACGCACGCTGCTGTGTGGACGAGCCGTTAGCTTATGAGAGGATTTTGTGATAAAGTTTGACATTTAATTGAATAAACATTTCTTAGGGTTCCCATATTTCAGATTCCTGATCTGGGCCCTATTTAGAAGACCCTGAAGAAAAAATTAGGACCCCATATTGGGTTGACGGACACCCCCCCATGCAGTATAAGTACACACTAATGAGAAGAGCGCCATCTATGGTCCAATGCATGCATACACACTCATATGCTGTTTGTGTACTCATTTAGACTGCCAAGTGACGGTAAAAAGCCAAGGCGATCCCATGGCCAAGTACGGTGTGCCCTCTAGGGTCAGAACCGACCATGGGGGCGAAAACAACTGTCTGCCTAATGATGAGCATCTTCAGAGGCTCTCACAGAGGCAGTGCTCTCCGTGGAAGAAGCACCCTGTTGTGTCTCGTCAGATCTGTTAGTATTATTTCTCTGTGAGTCTATATTGTTAAGTCCATGTCTGCCATTTCCTGTTTTCACTTTGTCATTTCCCTTCTCATTTCAGGTAGTTCGATTCCTACCTTGCCTGTTTGTCCACTGACCTAATTACCTGCCCCGCCCTTATTGTTTACACCTGTGGAGTCCCTTGCTTTTGTATATATTCTGTGTGTTCCCTGTGCCAAGTGCCAGATCGTTTTGAACCCTGTGAATGGATTACCTTGTTTCATCATTACAGTAAAACCTTTTTTGAATCATCTTTTGTCTAGAGTCGTGCATTTGGGTCCTATCAGTTTTTGTGTGCTCCAGTCGTAACACACCCACAACCAGAGAATAGAACGGCTCTGGGGTGACCTGTGGCGAGGTGTGAGCAATGTCTATTACGACCTCTTCAACTTCCTGGAGAGTGAAGGCATAATAGACATAGACAATGAAATGCACATGTGGGCCCTGCATTATGTCTATCTCCCACGCATAAACCATGACCTACGGGTTTTTTGGACCAGTGGAACAATCATGGGTTGAGGATCGACAGGGAGATGCTCAGGAGGAGCCAGAAAGAGAGGGTAGAGCTGATGCAGGAGATGTTGCTCAGGAGGAGCCAGAAAGAGAGGGTAGAGCTGATGCAGGAGATGTTGCTCAGGAGGAGCCAGAAAGAGAGGGTAGAGCTGATGCAGGAGATGTTGCTCAGGAGGAGCCAGAGAGAGAGGGTCGAGCTGATGCAGGGATGTGACTCAGGAGGAGCCAGAGAGAGAGGGTAGAGCTGATGCAGGAGATGTTGCTCAGGAGGAGCCAGAGAGAGAGGGTAGAGCTGATGCAGGAGATGTTACTCAGGAGGAGCCAGAGAGAGAGGGTAGAGCTGATGCAGGAGATGTTGCTCAGGAGGAGCCAGAGAGAGAGGGTAGAGCTGATGCAGGAGATGTGACTCAGGAGGAGCCAGAGAGAGAGGGTAGAGCTGATGCAGGAGATGTTGCTCAGGAGGAGCCAGAGAGAGAGGGTCGAGCTGATGCAGGGGATGTGACTCAGGAGGAGCCAGAGAGAGAGGGTAGAGCTGATGCAGGAGATGTTGCTCAGGAGGAGCCAGAGAGAGAGGGTAGAGCTGATGCAGGAGATGTTGCTCAGGAGGAGCCAGAGAGAGAGGGTAGAGCTGATGCAGGAGATGTTGCTCAGGAGGAGCCAGAGAGAGAGGGTAGAGCTGATGCAGGGGATATTGCATTGGACTGGCCAGAGAGGGTCACCGTACCTCGAAACCAGCACCTGCTAAGCGATGAGGACATGGAGCAACTCACCGCACAGTTTGATCCTCTTGCTGGTCGTAGAGGAGATCTTGGACTGGACGTCATCCAAAATATACTGTCATTCATGGCAGCATTGAATGTTGTCTGATTTTGTCACCGACACATATTTCACAGCGGCTCCCCCGCAGGCTGTTCTTTGCCCTTTGAACTCACACTAATTGCCTTTTTTTAAAACTACTACTTTGCACATGTTTCTAGTGTGCAGTGTATATATGTGTGTACCTATGTTTATATGTTGTAGTATTCGAGTGAATTTTCCTTAAATAAATTACTTTGTTTAAACAATGGTCTCTGTCATTGATGTTGTGCAGTTACTAGCCCCGCTTGTGGCCTGCACTTTGCCACGGTGACTGGGCTTTATATAGTCATCCATTGGGATGTGTTTTCGACAAATAACAGTCCAGACCTCATGGGGAAATTCAATAATAGCCACTAAATGTTTTTTTAAAGAAAACATAATGTGTTGACATTGATATATTACAAAACATATCCCTGAGTTTAACATTGTTCATTAGTGCCACGGTACATAAGCACATACTGTAGGAAAGCAACAAAAAAAAGCTACAGATAAATGCACATATGCATTGCTGCCTGAGAACATGCACAGCTTGAAATGCTATTAATATCTGCATGAAGTTTAAAAAATGCTCTTGTTTCTTTTACTAATTACAATGCTTTTCAACATGTATCTATCCATTTTCATTCAGTCTTCATACGCGATGCTGTTTCTTGGTGAGCTTGACAGTAATTCTTGACTCCAATGAGGTGAAGAGGCTCAAATTAAGTTTATAATGTAATCTCTGGATGTTCTCAGACATCTAGGATATGTTCTTGTGAGTACCTGGGCATAATTGGGAATTGGGAATTGATCACGTTTTCAGGTTCGTTTATTTATTTTTTAAAACTGATAAAGTTATAAGTTTGGTGTTCTAAGACCTGGGATGTATGTCATACACGTGTGCCATGGCATACACTGGGAACTACACTGTGTTGTGTGTCCACTTGCACTTCATCCCCTCGTCACCCTGTTTGTATATAAGTCCTGGTTTTCTGTCCTGTTCTTGTCGGTTCCTTGTTTGTCTATGTCATGAAGTTCTGTTTTTTCCGTGTTGATTGTTGTTACTTGAGTTCCTGTTCTGCCTGTTAAATATACATTTTTGTTAAGTTTTCTGCTGTCTCCAGTCTCTGCATTTGGGTCCAACCACTCCTTGCTTCACATGACAATGATTGATTTGTACTATATATCGAATTGCTATTTTTGCCATTATTGTATTGTTATTAGTGCTTTTGCAGGGAATTATTATTATTATTACTTTAAATCTCATAGATATTAACACTATTATACATATGGCTGAAATAATCATCATCATTAATTGTTTTGTGATATTATGTCCCTCTTGTTTTCATATATATACACACATATATATATATATATATATATATATATATATGTGCCCTCTTCCTTCACAAGCACTATATCAATATATAATACTATTCTGAAGCATGCAATGAAATAGAAGCAGAAAATGCTGCAGTGTTTGTGATGAACCTTTGTATACATTTCTGAATAAGTCTCAGAACCATTTTGTGGTACAATTAATTTGATATGGTTGGATATAGTTTTCAGCTGGAGCAACACTAATACTGAGGCTGATACCCTCCCATTTATTTGCCATGAAACGCAGAAGACAGGCTACCACCTTAATTTGAGGGTGAAGTGTCTTGCCCAGGGACACAACTACATGTTGACTACAGTGGGATTCAAACTTGCTATCACCTGATTCGAAGTCCAGTACACTATCCACTGAGCAATGTCTGACCCACACTTAGAACATTACTCTACAAGCAGATTGTAGTAATTTTACACCCACGCAGTGCATGGTCGAAGTGCGCATATTTTACGTAGCCTACTTAATCATGGGCAGTAACTACAGACCCATAGCATTAACATCACACTTGTGTAAATGGATGGAGAAGATGATAGTGTATAGACTATCACATGTCTTAGAACAAAGAGGGTTACTGAGTGGAACGAGTGGTGTCATAAATGTTGTATTTAATATGTTAATATATTGTTTAATGTTACACTTCACACAAGTCACGACTGTTTGCAGTTAATGTCGTTGCCGTGTGTAACGTTAGTTTATATAATGTGCAGCGCTTCAAACAGTGTGCTGCCTTAAAGGCATTTTATAATGTTATAATTTGTTTGCGGTTCAAAAAGTCACCACTAGGAGTGCTAATGGTATTGTTATCTTTAAAGGAATGCTCCACTCATTAGATAATTAATCAGTATTTAGTGAAACATTATGTTTAAACCATACCCTGAAGAAATCAGCGATATTCCCCGGTAAATAATGATTTTATAGCTCTTTTTTATCAAAACCTGTATATTCCGTCAGGCCGCTGCCATTTTGCCCATTTTCAGTAGTCACGTGATGGTCGTGACGTCATCCATGCGTTCACTTTGTAAACACACGAAAACATGGCGAAGTTTTGAGCAATATGAAGAGATTGGAAGGGGGAATTCAGCCATACAGGTTCGAGCCTACTTAGTACTACTTAGTAGATACAATTATTTTGATTACTAGATATGTATGCATGTAGTACCACCCTTGCTAGCGATTCCCTCTCTAGTTTAGCATACTCAGCCTCGTTGTCCCTGGCCCTAGAACCACGATTTTATGGGGCCGGAAAAACTAGGGGGAAATACCCACTAGCCGGTACTACGCTATATGGAAAGGCCACCAAAAACTGGCCTGGCCTGGACGATAAAGGACGTTTAAACGGGGCTACCCGCTGCAATGGAAATGCGCTATAACATACCTTATTCTTACTCCGAGCACTACTTCTGGTCCTCCGTCGCTTCACACTTGCAGAGGGCGATTTCTCAACTGGCCGAACTGGTGTCCTGGTCGGTGATGACACCAGAAAGACCGATGGTACTGCATCTCCATTAAGTAATGGTTGTTCAATAAATCCCATGTTTTGTTTTATCATACTCATAGTAGTCGTCCGGAAACTTGAAATGTTCGCTGCATACATACGCCTGTGGATCTTTCGGTTCGGGCCGGCCACATTTCGCTAGCCACTGCCTCCGAACGTACTTCCTACGCTTACCTTTTGGCAACAGATAGAACCGAGCATTCCGTGGATTGTTCCCATCAGAATTGTGGCAATGTTTCGCGATACAATGAGGCATATTTGAAGAGAGTAACTACAGTAAATAACATGAACATCAACGTGTCCTCGAAACCAAACGCATGGTTTACGTCACGTCCGGTAAAATGGCGCCGCCCACAGTGTTGATGTTATTTCGGTAATTAATCAGTTTAAAATCACTGATAATGTCATCGGATTCAAAAAAAAAAGAGAGACTGGCAGAGACTGGTCTGTTTTATCGGATGATAATTATTTAAAAATGAGTGTCATGAGCATACCATTCCTTTAAGTTCGCCGTTCTTAGCCTCACTTCCGGTTTAGCGTTAGAGAAACGGCATGGTCCGAGAGAAGAAAGACGACAGACACATGGCAGTAACTTTCCCTCTGCTTCATTCATTTCCCCTGTTCAACAGGTTAGTAGTGTGTACACAGATTATGTCATATTTCGATCTAAGAAGTGTCTTTGAAACTGTTTTATGTGTAGTTTAATGTCATTCTGTGAGCTACACTACTAGCGTGTGGCTAATGGCGTCCGCTAGCTTCTTTAACACAGGCTGTTGCTCCCTGAATAATGTAGCTCTACTATGTGTATGAGTCCCGTGCACTAGTCTGGCTTACATTTCAAGTTTATTCTGTTTGTATAAATATGTGAAATGCTGGTCTGAGGTCATAATTGTTCATATTATTTAAATGCTAAAGCGCTAATGCTATGCTAATATTGTGCCTGTACAACAGCCATGTTAAAGTGAGTACAGTCGGGTTGTGTGTGTTATCTGTTATCACTGTATTATATACTGTAAATGAAAAAGGCTTTAATCCTTCATGAAAGTCATAATATGGCATCTGTATTTATGTCCATTTTTGATTAGAAAACGAAATATGTCAGACATACAGTTATTTTGATTGGCTAAATGTATTTTTACATTCTCAGTTAGCTTCAGGCCTCACTGAGGAGAAGTATTGAGGTAGAAAGCTGGTGAAGCCATTTCATTATATTCTGTTTGCACATATAATAAAGCTGGTTGGCAAGAAGGAAGTCATATTCATTCGACCACACAACGCAGAGATACATAAATAGAGAAAACGGATATAATTTGTAAGTGAATTTATTAATGTGTTTAATAAATTCTGGCTAGGACCACCACACAAACGGCAGCAACTTTCCCTCTGCTTCATTATTTTCTCCTGTTCAACAGGCTTATTATCTGATTACCAGCTCTGCACAGCGGACTTGTAACAGTAGCAGCAGTGGAGATGGAGCATCAGAACCTGGAGAATACAGCAACAATTTACACATTTTCATTTTAGACATGAACAACACATTTATATTGGCCTATAGTGTAATTCATATATTTCACTACTTGTGTGAACCAAAAACGTTGGTAAACCAAATCTGAAACACCAATACAAATGGATGACATGAGTACATCTGTGTTTTCACAAGAGTTTTTAAGTTTTCCAAAAATCTGATTTCTAAGCTAAGTATCTCATAAGACAGTGCTCTAAGGTGAGTGACATTGCATTTCTAGCAAGACCAGAGACTGAACATTTTGATATGTTACACCATTCCATGTTATAAGAAGTACATTTAAAAGGTGATTTAAGGAGACATAAATACCCTTCACTTCAGTAAGGTAAGGCGATTTTATTTTAAAAGACAATGAAGGCAGATTATATTGATTGATATATTTATTATATTGAAAGCCAAATTAATACATAGTCCCCTGAATCTGGAATAACGTACAATTTACAGCCTCACAATGTCAGGAACTTTTCATCTACAGATTGCTTTGGTCTGGTTTTGCTCTTCACTGATTGGTTACTGAGACTTTGAACTTAAACGGACCTCCCCGTTTATAAAACGGGCCTTCCCGTTTATAAAACGGACCTCCCCGTTAATCCGTGCGAATAAACGCGCGAATTGTGGCGCAAAGGGCGTTCCATATTTATCTCCCCCGTCTGTGTGCGAGGGGGCGGGGCAGTTTACACACACGCAGCTGCTACATGCAGCAACACACTGCGGAGATGGCGGAGAGAACTCGCTCCGAGGTGTGGTTAAACTTTACCCGTCTCGATGCTCGTTACCAAAAGTGCAATAAGAGTTTAGCATGTAAGGGCGGTAAAACGAGCAATTTGTCTACACATTTAGCAAAAGTGCACCACATTCAGACGGAGAAATGCACCGGGTTCCACTGTCTTTCTAGTAGCTCTGTACAGTGGCGTAGCCAGGAATTATTGTGTGGGTGGGCCTGGAGAAATGTAGGTGGGCCAGGGGGAGACATATTAAGCGTGGGGTCTGAGCTGAAACTTCATTAATGATTTTAATGATTTTTTAATGCACTAATAGAACATAAGCATAAATTAGCAGTGAAAACAAAAAACATAGGCACGGCGGCCTCAGAATGTGTGTAAAACTGACATCCACATAGGGATGGGTATCGTTAAGGCTTTAACAGTACTACTACTTTTATGCTCCAGGTTCAGTACCAACCACATCATAAAGTACACGGACGATACAACAGTGGTGGGACTCATCAGGGACAACAACGAACAGGCCTACAGGGAGGAGGTGAAACATCTGACAGACTGGTGTAACACCAACAACCTGATCCTGAATGTCGATAAAACAAAAGAGATCATTGTCGACTTCAGGAACAAAAAGCACTGTCACCCACCACTCCACATCAACGGCACAGCAGTGAAGACTACAGACAGCACCAAGTTCCTGGGGGTGCATATCACAAGCAGTCTGACCTGGTCTACTCACAATACATCACTATTTAAGAAGGCACAGCAGCGCCTACACTTCCTGCACAGCTCCCCCCTCCCATCCTCACCACGTTCTACAGAGGAACCATAGAGAGCGTGCTGACCAGCGGCATCTCCATCTGGTCGAGAGACTGCAACGCCAAAGACTGGAAGTCTCTGCAGAGAGTGGTCAGGACAGCAGAGAAGATCATCGGAGTTTCTCTCCCTCCCATCAGAGACACCACTCAGAAACGCTCCCTGACAAAAGCCCAGAACATGTTTAAAGACCCCACTCATCCTCACCATGCTCTGTTCTCCCTGCTGCCCTCCGGCAAGAGGTTCCGCAGCATTAAGAGCAGAACAGCCAGATTCTGCAATAGCTTTTTCCCCCAAGCCATCAGACTGCTGAACAGCAAGTAGACCAGTAACATAAAGATTACATTACGCTGTGTAAAGAGCACATATTTGTTATATAGTATGTCTATTTTATTTATATGTATAGTAAGTCTTTATATTTTAAACGCACACTTTATCTTTAATTTTATCAGCACCACGTCACTATTATTTATTTATATGTACAATTTTAGCAAGTTTTTATATGTTCCTGTAATCCAGTACAGCGACATTTCGTTTTAATAGTACACTCTGTGTCTTGTTGAAATGACAATAAAGTATGTCTGTCTTATCGATCCGGTCCTTTAACATTACTTTTATCGGTTCTTTTGGAGAAAAAAATAAGGTAAACAAATTGTGAACAAAACTTTAATTATTTAAATAAAATAAATAATATTTCACATCAAAAGAAATAACAATGTTTTAACAAATCGTATTAAATAATCTGATGACAGAATTGTAAACAGAATAGCTGAAACTTTAACAGACTAAATAACTCAGTTACCTCTAATCATTAACCCATGTTTGTATAATGGAGTTAACTCCGTGTGGTGCTGCTAGCATACATAACACCTGACGTGGAAACGTTACTCGTGGATGGGGCTACAGAGCTGCTAGAAAGACAGTTGAACCCGGTGCATTCCTCCGTCTGGATGTGGAGCACTTTTGCTAAATGTTTAGACACATTGCTTGTGTTACCGCCCTTACATGCTAAACACTTATTGCACTTTTGGCAACGAGCATTTTCCACATCGAGACGGGTAAAGTTTATCCACACCTCGGAGCGCGTTCTCTCCGCCATCTCCTCCGTGTGTGTGTGTGTGTGTGTTGCTGCATGTAGCAGCTGCGTGTGTGTAAACTGCCATCTCTTGTCTGGATTGGAAAGATCTAAAATACTAAAAATAATCAGACGCGTTTTGCTGTCTTTTTGCATATTAGAAACGGAGTTGGCGACACTTAAACTGCAATGTAATGTTTGTGTAGCAATAATACATACGACATATATCAGGGGCCACAGGTTGTTTATCCTTGACAGTCGCACAGTGGGCACACACTGAGTGTTTTCATATTCAGCAAATGTGTACACGCTAAACTGCAGACCTCAAGAAGAAATAATACTTTCATTCACTCACGGCAAAACTTACTTTACTTACTAATTTACTCACGGTAAAAAAATGCACTCCCTATTCCATTGTCATGAAGGTGGAATTTAACTATATCCAGAATAAGTTTTATTGGATCCAGGCTAGAAACATGTTTATTTCTGCTGTAAAGTTGGGCATTTTAACATGGGGGTCTATGGAAACGGCTCCTTTCTGCATCCATCCCCTGTCGGCCACTAGATGAACTGCAGTTTGTGGCACTTCCTTCTGGGCTTCCTGGCTCCTGCGCTATGAAGCGCTGATTGGCTGTGGGTGGGCCCGGGTGGGCCAGACGGGCCCACCCACAGCTACGCCACTGGCTCTGTAGCCCTGTCCACGAGTAACGTTTCCACGTCAGGTATGTTATGTATGCTAGCAGCAACACACGGAGTTAACTACATTATACAAATATGGGTTGATGATTAGAGGAAACAGTTATTTATTTTGTTAAAGTTTCAGCTATTCTGTTTACAATTCTGTCATCAGATTATTTAATACGATTTGTTAAAACATTGTTGTTTCTTTTGATGTGAAATATTATTTATTTTAAATAAAAAGCAATGTTAATTTTGTTCAAAATGTGTTTAGTTAATTTAATAATATGTATTTTTGAATCAAGTATTCATCTTTATTGTCTTCATTGTTAGTTTCCACATGCCTAAAACAACCTCAAGCTAAATCTAAAAGTTTATGGCTAACTAAGAACGTTTGAGAAACTGTGCAAGGCGTAATAATTAATCGTTTAATTAATCGATAGATTAATCGATTATCAAATTAGTCGTTTGTTGCAGCCCTAGTTGAGAGCTACAACTAGTCTTTGCTGCTGCCTCAAAGAGGAGCAGGGGGAGACAGGTGAGGCTGATTCAGGAGCACAGACACACTCACAACTATAAATGAACTAAAAACAAATAAATAAACAAGTTTCAATGTTTTTTCATATTGGATATGGTATGTTATTGATTATGACCATGTACTTATGATTTTATGATTATTTAAATGTATACAGTTCTGTTTCATAGTGTAGTTTCCTTATTTCCCCCTCAAAGTGCACCAGATTGATGCATTTAAGTCCAACATTTAAAAAAAAATCTTGAAATCTTGACTTGAAACAGTTGCTGATTTAGAGTACTGGCACCTTTTTTATTCCAATTCGAGCACTGGTTACAATGGCGTTTGTTAGCAACCAGAAAATGACATAAGTAATGACAAACAGATGAGAATGCTGCGTGGGGTCTGGGTGCCGTGTTGGCAGGACGTTGCGGGGCTCGCTGCTCCGCCCTTTGAGGCTCGAGGAGCGGACAATGTGAGCTGGATTACTGGTGTCGTTTCCTGGTTGCTGTGTGGGGTCTGCGAGACACCGAGGAACTCAGCCTGAGCACACACACACGTGTGTGCGGAGATCCGCGGAGCCGGCTGAGGTGCTGGACTCCAGTGAACACTATTACGGGCACTATAGAGCACGCACAAAAGCACTCCCCACACGCAAACACACAGTACACCCGCGACTGTTACAATGAAGGCTCGATAATCAGCTCACGGCATATAGGCAGGGGTAAAGTGCTATTTTTTATGAGTGGGGAGCGGATCTCACCTCACTGTAAAAACGCAAACTTAAAATTGTTGGCCTGAAAATAATTTGTTTGTAAAGTGAACAAAAAATATTGAATTGAGTTGCTTACTACATTAAAGTAGTTCTCTCGACTATCTTTATTATGTTGCTTGTTTAAAGTGTGTGTCATTTAATAAATTCAGGCTGCAGCCACACGAGGACAAAAACGGCCGTTTGCGTTACTGTTTAGTGTCATATAGACCATTCGGCCACACGAGGACGACCGCATACGGCACTAAACGACTGAGGAAACGATAACGGGTCCCAAGGTGGATAGAACGGCATACGCAACGCTCTGGGGGGTCAAACAGCTCCGTGTGTACGCCCTATACGATCATTTTCTGATAATGTTGAGGCAATAGCCCCGCCTCTCCCCACCTCTGCTGCTCACCCCCGCGTCAAAGTAAACTGCACACTGAATTCAGATTATTTATCTTTCTCTCGATATGGACCTAAACGCGAGTGAAGTCTAATCTGACAGGACGGAGACACGCAGCTCTGCTCACCTGCAGCTCCTCCCGCTGTGATGCGGCGGTGAACGGAGTAAAACACACACTTCAAGTCCGATCATCACCCTTAGCTATTTTAATTACCTCTCAAACTACCTAAACTAGATATAAATATGTTTATTTTTACTGTCGGCCGGGTCACTCATTACTGGATCAGCTGCTGCATGAGACAGACACTGGCGCTGTCCGAAGAGAGGGAGGAAAAAGAGAGGCTCCGTGTATTTTATTATTATATTATATAGATTCGTTATTCATTTGTTTTAAAGCTCAATAAATAACAAAGAAGACCTTTGACCGGCACTTTTATAATTTTGTCGGAAGATTTAAACTTTAATACACGTTGACTGGCGAAAAACTCTGCCCGGTTCCCTCGGCCCCCACCGCGGAGAATAAACAGAAGGGCAACCATGACAACCATGCTTCTTCGCTGCTTTTGTGGAGGAAGTTACAGCGCCACGTACAGGCTCCTGCATATGTACTGCAGCTTCTCCAGCGGTTGGAGCTAAACGGAGCGGTCTCGTGTGGATAGACACTATCCGGATGACTATTGCGTGTGGACGGAAGCTTTTTTGCGATTGCGTTTGCGTTAATCCTATGCGTTTAGCCGTTTTCGTCCTCGTGTGGCCGGGGCATACATTCTTTGTGTATGCTTCGAGCTACGAACGGGGTCTCCAACAGAAATCTGCAGGGGGTTTTCTACAGTATTTCGCCTTTACATGTTCGGCAGTGGCACTCTGCTGTTCTCAACGGGACTGATCATCCTCAAGGTGAGCACTTTGTTTGAATGTTGTATTGAAATTATGAATATCGAAAATGACTGATTTAAAGTGTAACATTAATTGATTGCGAATTATTTAGTTGATTGTTAGTGAATTATCAGTTAATGTGGCACTAGATGTTTTAGAAACGTTTATCATGTCTGGCCCTAGACTTCTAAGGTATGCTACGATGGACAAGTGTAGCCAGAAACGTGGTCGGCTGTTAGCTTAGCACATACACGTTGAATATCAGTGGCAGAAAAATATAACTATGAATGGGGGTTTTAGCAATATTCTGGCAACCCGTCTCTCGGCCAGCATTGAGGACATGCGGGTTCCTATTATACATCCATGCATGCGGGTCTGTCAGGTCGAGCCTGGCGTGAGAGAGGAAACGGAACGTTAAACTGTTTTATGGCCAGAATATATGGTAAAAGACGGACTGCATAATTAAGGGAGGATTACCGTGAGTTAACGATCAACTAGAGCACGATATCAGCAAACATGTTTTCACCGTAGCTCCAACGATATTATTTTAAATGTTAATGTGAAATGTTAAACAACATTTAAGGTTAAACGTATTACAGCTTCATAGATCGACATGTCTGATGGGTGGTAACAGTCATTTCTCTGTCCCCGTCAGTGCAGCAGACCGACGGAGACGAGACGACGGAGTGTGTTGAAGAGGCCTATATGAACAACTACAATCCCCGGTTCAGGTGGCGACTGGCGCGCTAACGGAGCTCCAGGAGGGAAAACCTTTGCGACGCTGAGGTTCGGCTGATTTGCAAAGGTATGCTAACATGGACGTGTGTTGTCTGCCACATGGTCGGCTTTTAGCTTGAAAAATATACGATGGTGCATATTAGCGTTAGCATAGGACAGTAAGAAAGGTACTACTTATTACTGCAAGAGCAGCTGGTGGTAAGGACCTCGGACAACTTAAATGTAAAACATGCTATTGAGACATGTGCCCTCAGTTTGAGGCGTGATTGAAGGTCATTCCAAGATCAAGGACCACAATAAAAAAGACTCCTTTTCCCAGCCTCAGTCCGCACAGCAGGAACCTGGAACCGTATCCAGGCACTGGGTCTGAGGTTGTAAGAGTCACAAACTGGAGCAAATCTGGCAAGTTTAGTGTTTTATTCCGTTATAACAAAATAGCAATAAACAACGGTTTCCTTTTTAATGCCATTCTTAAATAAATGCAACAAGCTGTAGTTTTTGTAGACTGTAAATACACCAACTATATCTTTAGTTTATGATTTGTGTTATTAAATGTGTTCTGCGGCTACAGATATTTATTTTTTGTGGAAATTGGGCTGAAATGGGGCTCTTGTGATAGTAAAGGTTGCAGACCCACCATATATATCATACACAGTTTGTGTATATCTATGTATTGCAGCAAAAAACTGTGAAAGGTAAATTGACCATTTTGGCTTTTTAATTCTAATTACAGTACTTACTTCACTTTTACATCATCAACAAAGTTTACATAAGTCCTGTTTAATAATTCAATCTCTCTTCCGGTTCAAACAACTATTGCAAAGTTCTTTTGTTCAGAGAAGACTTGCCGTTTTAAATAAATCACAAATGGATCCTGACTTCTGAGATTCTGAAATGACCCTTTAATCACTCATTTTAACCATAAATCCTAATGCTCTGTTTTTCTGATTTACAGACATCTGACATTGCACAGCAACGAATGAGAATGTGTCTGGAAGGTCTGCCCTTATTTGTCCGTGACAGTGCAGAGAAGCTCTTCCTGAAATGCCTGGTGTGTATGGTTGTCCATTAATCATAAGTCTACATTTAATGTCATACAAGTGCAGTTATTAAGTTTTCCTATAATCATAGATACATCTGTTTTGAAGATGAAGCCTGATTCTCAGGATAAATACTAGACCTGCTACATAACTACTAGTGAACTAGTTGTATAACAGAACAGTTAACATTTTCACAGTAATTATTGTGTCATTGCTGAGCAATCAAACCAGTATTTTATTTGCAGTTATATAATATCCTTATTTGGTAAATAATAATTGCTTATCTGCTTTCTACATGCAGGACACTGATCCGGAAGAAAAGCAGACTGCTGGTGTCAAGATGGGAGTCCTCACTGTTCTCGTAGATGATGGTGGACCTACCCCGTCTCAAATGGTCAACAGTATTGCTGTTGTCTTGGAAGAGACAATTGTACTCTCGGATCTACCAGACATCCCAACTGCATTTGTCTACCTTTTTGGTACTCTATGCCCTGAACATTGAGTTTCCAAAAGAACACAAGTACACTTTTGAGACTGTTCAGCACATCTTCATGGGACTTTCCACCAGTTGCTCACAGCGGATCAGGAGTTGGAAAACAAAGCTCTTAATCTAAGTGAGCATTGGCAAATTCAAAAACGGATTCACAAGATGTCCCCATTTCATTTTCCTGCCTTCACCGCTGTTTGTCACTTGAACATTCAGTTCCCAAAACCCAACTAACTAAACCAACTAACTAACTAAACCAACTAACTAACCCACTAACTAACCCAAATAACCCAAGTTCTTTATCTTTACAGATAAAATGTTAACTAGTAACATGAACATCTTGCTACATTTTCAAAGACATGTTCTCACTCTTAACCAGTTAAGCCCTGAGCCTGTTTTTCAGGTTTCAGGCTCGAAAATGCCACTAACACAACAAATGATATATCTTCACTTCTAAAAGGGGTAAATTAATAATTATTTTTCTCAAAGCAAGGTTACATCTGTGAGTTGGATGTAGAAGTGTCAGAATCAATATAGATGTTTTTATTTTAAAGTAAATTCAGATGGAACATAGTAAAAACATGTAAATTCTAATGTCCACCTAAAAAAAAACCTTTACTTATCGTGAAAACCACCCTTGCATGATGGGTTAGTAGACTAAAAGCTTTAGGAATCCAAACTATAACATATAAGTACCCTGTATCAAGATTGATGCAAAACAAGTGAAATTTGACCTTTTTAGAGAGATTTAGAAAAATAAAGTCTAAGCGGACTCACCTCTGGGTAATTTGGGAACCATCGGTTCCATTTGAACTTTTTCACTGTAAAAATCATTTTATTACTTTGAATTATCACTATAGGTATTCATTCCATCCAAATACAACTGTTGTGAAAAAAAATTAAATAAAACATAGGCTTACTCTTACAGTGAGCCTCTGAATTAGCCCCGAGCGAAAAATGCTAACCTATTACAGCACCGAAAATCACTCCTCGCTCCCTTATTACTTATCCTAGCTGCACATCCAACACATTGTTTATGATCGCAAGGAGACACAGAATCTAACGGTGCCCACCTGAACAGCCCAACACTGAAAGATACAAACTCGCGACGTTATCAACAAAAACGTACATCAAAACGAATGGCGCTAGCGCTAATGCGCTAGGCTAACAATGACTTACCTTCCTCGTTGTCTGGTCTAAACTGGTCTTCAATGGCATTAAAACGATGATGTAGTTAATCCATAGATTAATATCCAATGGGGCTGTGTCCCCTTTGAAATGTTCTGATAATCTATAAGCAATAAAACTGCAATTCCTTTATCTGCTGTCCGCTCTGTGCTCCGTGCGCTCTGGGTCCTGCTGCATTTCCTGCTTCTTTACGCTGTAAACAATAAATGAAGTGGGCTGCGTAATGTACTTAAGTTGGCTGCCATTCTTTATAATTTGCGCAGGACCATATCTCTGGAACCCATTGGTCGATTCGTGTGATTTACACCTTTTTCTTAACCATCAGAACCAATAGAATCGATGGGCAGTTCCCAAGTCTACGTAAACATTACCATAGCGGACGTAATAGAGAAGCAAACGAAGCATATCTGAAAGTGCAAGCCTGGACGGCAATACTTTATACCGAGTATGTTGCCATAAATATGATGATTGATTATCAGTAAAAAATTATACGTGACACAAAGACATTGGATTAACCTTGAGATGCGTTTTTATTCCGTTGAACACAACTTTTGATCACAAATCAAAAAAGGTAAGACGTAATTATTGTAATATTTTTGGAACCGGATGTTGTTTACTTTCTCTTTTCTGGCTGATAGATCCAGGAATTCGAGGTCGGACAGTGATGACATTACATGTGTGGAATCTGTGGAGTCTCAGCTTTAAATCGTATATCTTGTTTGTGCAGTTAAGATAGTAATAAGGGCATTTCTACCGTGTGTTGTGTGTAAAAAAGCGTTAGCATTAGTTAGCATTTTTTCGCTCAATGCTAATTCAAAGGCTTGGTATTACTTTTGTGTTTTTCTTAGCTAACAATTGTTCTTATTGTCAGTTAGCGGAGTTTCTTACCTTTAAAAGGGTATGAAACATTAATAGTTTCATAAATGTTAAGAAGCCCTGAGACATGTGAGAAAAAAAAAACTGTGGGAGGGGTCCACTGGGGGGACCTTCGGGCTTAACTGGTTAAGGCACAAGCACCTTTTTTCTCTAACATTATTTCACATTTTTCTCAAGCTGGCTTGCATACTCGTTGTAATATTGCAAGGACTAGTTAGTAGTTACTGCCACAATTGTTGTCTTGCAGCTGTTTTTTTTTGTATAAAGAGCCATATGAGTAGTGGAAGAGTTGGAAATGGTGTGGTCCCTCAGAGTTGTGTTGGGAGAAATCACTGGCTGTTTACATGCCGTTTTACAGATTGTTCATTTTCGTTATTAAACACTAACTTTGCCATTTGTTATTCCATAGCTGCTATTGTTTTGACAGCAGGCTTATTCAAAGGGTGGTTTGCACATTTTTATGGAACCCTAGCCTTATGGAAGACTTTTAGTGATGGTGTATTTTCAATGTTGTTACACATATTCAGTATCATTGGAAATCTTTGTTTTTTACAGTATTTTTATAACAGAAGTTTGTAATACAAATCTGAAGTTTGTATATGTTTGATACATTTTCTGAAACAAAAATATTAACTTTGCACAACTTTCACTTAATGGAATTGTTAGTATGTAGTACTCAAAATAAGAAGTTTCTATATATATGAAAGGTACATTTTCTAGACCAAAAATAATAACTTGGCATAACTTTCACTTAATGGAATTCTTTGTATGTGGAACTCAAAGTTAGAAGTTTTTAAACGTATGAAAGATACATTTTCCAAACCAAAGATAATAAGTTAGCACAACCTTTACTTATTTAAAATGTTAAGTATGCAGAACTCAAAACTTGAAGTTGTAAAATTTTTGAATGAGTTGTCTCGACAAAATATAATTAGTTGACTCAATTGAAAAGATAAACTTAGAAATGTTAGTTGGCCTCAAAACTTAAAAATCTTGTACAACCTGTTGCCTTGAAATTTTGAGTTGTCCAAACTTTTTTTTTTACAGTGCTCCTCTAGGGGGGTCCGGGGGGATGCTCCCCGGGAAGATTTTTTTAAAATATTGAAGTTAAAAGCATCAATCTTTTGCACTTTAAGAGCAACATGAAGAGATCTATGGATACATCTCTCAACATCCAGATGAAACACAACTGTAATCAGATGTTCTTTTTCTTTATGGATATTTTACAAATCACTCCCCTTTCACACTGTATTCTTGTTTTACTGCCATATAGTATTTCATAACTGTTTTTCCTTTATTCTCTTATTTGTTTTTATAACTATAATGATCATATGAAGATGTGCCGCGGAAATAATCTTTTGAATAATTTGTGACCAAACCGTTTGAGACCCACTGAGATAACTTAGACTAAAGTGAACTATCTAAACACTCAGAGAGTCCTTTAGCTCACCTGAGCCTCTCAGTCTGAGGAGAGGACTCTCCTCCAGCTTGTTGTGGAACAAACAGCTCCGTATGTCCGTTAGTGCAGCTAGCTAACCAGATGCTAACAACACGGTCCCTGCTGCTGGCACCGGTCTCTCTCTCTTGTGCTGTTGACATTATGCAACATGACAGTATGCTGAATTCAGCATTCCCATGAATGTGTCCACGTCCAGCCTTTATTTTATGCTAGCCTTTATAAGATATTAATATTAGTGATACTAGCACAGCTTATTTTTAGAATGTAACCATGAAGGCAGTGTTGGCTGCAGCCAATCAGAAAGCGTTTACAGGTGTCTTCCTGCTCATCAGTAATTCAACAACTTCATTTCTCTCACATATACATCTACACTTCACCCGTCCCGTTACCAATCAATGAAAAAGGTTCTTATTTATGGGTTAACTATCATTTTCGTGTTAACATGTGAAACAGTATGTTTTGTAAATGAAGGCTGGGCGCCACGCTGCCGGTCTATATGCCACAGTGAGCTGCACTCATTAAGGAAGGGAGGCTCAGTGTGGTGAGTTCAGTGTCCTCACACAGCAGACTTACCTGTGTGGTCCACTGAAGCATGGAGGTGAAAAAACACAAAGGTCAAAGTTAGAAATTACAGAGAGCCATGCTACTACAGTCTGTCACAGTTTAATGTAGCACCATGGCTATGGTGTTATTTGTGTGCCTCTATCCTGAGCGCGCAATTTAACATTTTTGAGCACATCAAAAATTATTTTGCAAGCACAACTGACTCTAAGCCCTCTTACAAACTCCTGCTCGCTCAGTCAGTCAGTCTCTCTCTCTCTCTCTCTCTCTCTCTCTCTCATCTCTCTCTCTCTCCTCTCTCTCTCCTCCTCTCTCTCATCTCATCTCTCTCTCTCTCTCTCTCTCACTCTCTTCTCTCTCATCTCTCTCTCTCTCGTCCTCTCTCTCTCTCTCATCCTCTCTTCTCCGTCCTCTCTCTCTCTCTCTCTCACACACAGAGCCGAGCTTGAATGACACAAGCACACTTTTATTTCCATGCAACTCTCTGATTGGTCTGGTGTCTTGCCTCTGTTGCATTCACTGAACACGGGAAATTACAGTCCTGCCGTCCTCTCTAGTGTCATGATGAGGTTCACGTAAAGCACGGTCAATGTATTATATTATTGAGGTAGAATTTTCCGGGGCTACAGAATTGTAGCCAACAATGTGGAATTTATTGGCTTCATATTACACAGATTATGCACAGCGGGAGCAGCAATAACCGTCAAATAATATTTCAGACAGGGGAGCTCCGCACCCCCTGCCTGCCGCTAGGGGGTGCTGCAGCGCCCTCAGCACCCACCTTCCCGCGCCCATGCGCGGCTGAGAAAAGATGTGTGTGTGTGTGTGTGTGTGTGTGTGTGTGTGTGTGTGTGTGTGTGTGTGTGTGTGTGTGTGTGTGTGTGTGTGTGTGTGTGTGTGTGTGTGTGTGTGTGTGTGTGTGTGTGTGTGTGTGTGTGTGTGTGTGTGTGTGTGTGTGTGTGTGTGTGTGTGTGTGTGTGTGTGTGTGTGTGTGTGTGTGTGTGTGTGTGTGTGTGTGTGTGTGTGTGTGTGGCCGTTACGTCACTATGACCAGGAAGAACAAAATGGAAATAGATAAATGTCCAACGAGGCGTTCTGGGGCAGCACAGACAGGTCTTCTCTGTGTTAGAGTTGTACTCCCTACAGGGTGTACTTTGAGGGTTTGTGACTCTGCAGACCGTTTACATGCAGAAAAACCTTCATAACACAAGGGGACGGGTAATAACCAGAAAAGCATACATGGGACCTTTAATGAGCGTGTATTTGGGATACAAAAGTAGTGAAACGTAAATCAATGAAAAGAAAATTGGAGATTTTGTGAAGAAAATAATGGAAAGAGTGTTATAAAAATACAAATCTGAATATGGTAAATTGCCAA